GTGTGTGTGTGGTGTAGTGTGTAGTACGTAGTACGTATATATCTATAACGTATATATATATATATANATATATAAAATGAGTGAGCATATACAAGCAGACATATAGATATACATACCTGCAGACGATCGATCACATCCCCCTGGACTTTCCGAGGGCCTCTTTGCCACAGGCATCTCTGGTAGACTGTCCACTATGGCGCTCTCAAACACGTCATCGGTGGCAGGTGGAGATTCAAGAGGCCCTGCATCATCGTGGCCCTTTGCGTTGAGTGCCTGTTGCTCTCTTACTTGTGCTGTAAGCTTGCCTTTGTGAGAGAGACATCACAGAATAACATAAGACAGAAATGTGTACTCCTGTGAGTTGGGCTAATGAGAAATAGGAGAAAGGCCACTGTCGTAATTCGACAGAAACGTACGATACACGGTTAATTTACTTGCTGTTGCTGATCTCAACCTTGAGCTGCAAACATGCTCCGATATACATATACATATACATATACAAGCTTGCCGAGACAGAATAAAACAGACCTACACTGACACAATATCAGTAAAAAAAATTGACATTATGTAAACTCACGAGTTCATATCCGCACTGAGTGACATACCGAGAAAGTCAATGGCATCGTCGCCCAATTCGTCTATTTTGATCGTGGGTAAGTCGGGCAGTTGGGTACTTTTCTTCAGTTGTTCGTATCCCTGATAGTTTTAAATAAAAACCAGCGTAAGAATACACCCCCGATAGCATTTTGAATACCAAAAACAATTGGTTATTCCAGTATTCTACCAGCCCTCTCTGTAAGATCCAAAGGTAATTCCAGCACTCTAGATGGGCCAATCAAGCACTGAAGGTAGTTCGATTCCGAGCTCGACGAGGTTCGTTTGAGTACTCAAAAATAATAATCTTGTCTACTACTCGAGAGTATTGAACTTTAGTATTAAGAATGGCTCATTTTGACGATGGAGATACCGAACAGGAGTCACTGTATTGCCAGTAGAACTATATGCTTCGATTAAACTGTGCGCGATACAAAGTGGGACCGCGTGGGTGATTGCTGATGAGTTTTCGCATCCACCAAACAATGCAGAGACACATCAGCAGTACCGGTTAAGACATGCATACTCCATAGAAAAAGGTGCAAATAGGACCAAATAAATACACGAACATAACATATGCCAAGCTACACACAGTGGTATTGGCATGCACAATTGCTGACAGGTATTTGCATTCATCAAACAACGTAGAGAAGCATCGCCAGTACCTAATTTATTGAAGTACTCTACGAAAACAGGTACAAATATGATCAAATAAATATACAAACATATGCCAAATTACACATACACACATTAGTGTGCGCGAACAACCATAAACACAACATCAATAAATATTGAAGGTCTGACGGCTTTTTAAATATACTGGTACGTATATGGCCGTGGGTTAGATCCAGCAAATGCTAACTCTTCTTAGATATGATACTATAAAGCTATAGCTTGGATGTCTCGGTCGCATTCTTTTTAAAGTATACAGTATTTGCAGGCGAATAATCTGGCACGTATAAAAAAGGGGTTATTAGATACTATATTGTCGAACAACAAGGTATGCACGCACGAACAATAACACGTACATACAACGATAAACACATACTCCCACACACACATAAATGTATATACGAATTCCGATAGCTACTGGAAAGTACAACAGAGCATGTAGCACTCATATAAGAGCAATGCCCCTGCTGCATATCTAGCAAATAGTCAACATACACATATACATACATTATAAATTCATACACAGTCGAACAGACACGCCAAAAAAAAAACACGTACACAAACACATACATTCAAACATACCAGAGAGGAATTGACTCGCAATACTAAAATAGTAATAGCCGACGTACAAGCAGGCATTTGTAAAATGGCATTATGCTGCCTCGGCCCAATAACATTTATTGAATGAAGAGACTATATATATATATATATATATATATATATGTGTGTGTGTGTGTGTGTGTGTGTGTGTGTGTGTGTGTGTGTGTGTGTGTGTGTCAATAAAACTACACCCCATAAGATACAGTTAACCAAATGACAACACCCCATAAGATACAGTTAACCAAATACACACTGAAAAAGCAACTACATACCCGCACGAACGCGCACACACAACAGATAAACAGACCTGCACGGCACCCACTCCCACCATTGCAGGCAAGGCTAGCAGACGGGCAGGTAACATTCGCAAGAAAGAAATGCCTCTGCTGCCTCTACCGATAGCATTCAATCGCTGAGTCGACCCATCATAAGGACTGCCGGCTTTCCGCAGAGTGCGTGCGGTTGCATTTGTATTGCTATGTAAGGTATGTATGCTGTGGGGAATGCAATTTAAAAAAAACGTTAGTTTCAAACCATAATGTGATGAATACATACATTGTAACATGCACAATCAGACATATCCGAATAATTAATATACACATAAACATATACATATACATACACACACACACCATACAAATACACATTCATGAACGCACAAGCACAGATACAGACACAGACACAGACACAGACATATATATATTATGAATATACAACTAATATATATATATACATATATATTTATATATATGCATATACACGCAGATATATATATATATATATACAATGTATATATATATATATATATATATGTGTGTGTGTGTGTGTGTGTGTGTGT